CCCCAAAACCCCAAAACCCCAAAACCCCTGATTTATATAAAATTATTGAAACTTATGGAAGAACGCTCGATCTGACCAGGTAACGGTAAGTAGACTTTCAATATTTCACAAGGAGGGTTTTAAACTAGGTTTAGTGAATCTAGAAGACTCTGAGGAATGTAGCTCAATTCCTGACGAAACTAGTGACTTGAATGAACTAGAAACCTACTTTTGAGATTATATGGGTTATGAAAACAACTCTCCAAATGAAGAGAACAAACACTTTTAGAGCTTATAATAACTATATGCAGAGAAAACTTGCTCATGATTCTTCAGGGAGTTTACTTACTGATAGAAGTTTGGCTACCGATGAGGAGGAGACTCCAGGAGTCACAAATGGGTTTGGTAAGTATTAACCATTTTTGTCCAATAACTCTTCAAAACCCAGTAAATTTGGTTATAGGCATTGAAATGGAGAAAAGTATGGCCAAAGATGCAGATGAAGATTATATAGTAGCTCCAAACTATGAAACTCCTCGTGCTCCTATAACTCCATCTCCTATGAATAAATTAATTCTAACAAAATCAAGAAACAAAGAATGTGATAAATCTGATTCTCAAAATTACAAAAACGAACATTATGGTAGTTTAGACCAGAGTGGAGGCATTAATAACTTAAAACCAAAGGGAAGAAGTACATATTTTACAACAAAGAACACCAAAAGGAGCCATGAATCATCAAATCTCAAGCGTAAACCCAGCTTAAATCACCTCTTCAAGCAAAGACTATCCTTCAACTTCAGTAATCCTCCTTCTCACCCCCTCTAATAGGCCCTCTCAGCTACAAAATTCTTCAGACCAAATAAAAAGCCTAAGAAACGTACTCATAAACCGACCCTGATCCTTCCTAAACCAAAAGGTACGATATCTACCCGATTCTCCTACCACAAAGCCTCAATTCTACTACCACAAAATCTAAAATTTCACTTAAAACTCCCTTCTTCTAAATTTCATTTTCAGTACAAATTTGTACATGAAATTAAACTTTGAAATAGCTGTGAGGAAGTACCAGAGTAGAACAGATAGGAGTAATAGAGGGAAGTTTTAGAGGTTGTGCTGGGAGATATGATGGAACAGATCAGAGTGAGTTGGGGAAGGGGATTATGGGGGTAGAGAGGAAGGTTTGGGGAAATGGAAGTTAGAGATAGATTTGGTGGTGGTTATAGTTCATTTGGACCTTGGTTTATAGATGATAGGGTTAAAATTGAATATTTACCTTTATACATCAGTGATTTCATCAAAGATTTACTTTTTGATAATTTTCACAAATAGGCCAAAATAAAAAGGATCAGTCAGAGAAATCAATCGAAGAAAGCAAACATCCATCTGTGCATCGAAAACTTGAGACCAAATTAAGCAACTCTAAAAGTACTAGTCAAAGGAGGAAGAGTAAGCTCAGCACCTAAACCTCCTAGTCACGAACTGAGTCAGCCAAAGGCTATACCAACATGCTAGCGAAAGCAGGGAAAGGCTCAAACTGGTCAGGGAGAAGAAACTGCAAGCTGAGATAGAGTACTTAGCCAAGAATATGGTTGGCTCTTCCTCAAAGAAGAGCATGTCAAATTCCAGTTACAGAAGTAGCAGTAACAAATGATTTTTAAATACTGTAGATTCTTCAAGAAGTCAAGAGAATGTGTTTAAGCGACTAGAGAAAGACAGAATTTACCGAACAGAGAGAGTTTTGTATGACGAGGATTCATATACAAATAAATTTCATCAGAAAAAGAGGGCTAAAAGGAGGTGCAAATAGAAATAAGCCTGTTGCTAGTTATAAAACTGATACACTTATTGACATACAAATACATAACAAAATGAGGAGCAATGATTATTCTCCAAGGATAAAGCAGCCGTCAAAACCTTATTATTGGCAAGCTTCAAGCCGGAATACAAAGGTAATCACTTTTTAGTAATCTTCTAGTCCAGAATAGAGGCCAGTTATGGTACAATGGAGTCGTTAATCTCTCTGAGCTCTGCAACAAAGAGAATTTAGGATAGTCTAAGATTTATGTTTCCATATTGAATTCAATTTTAGTTGTGCATGCAGGGGTTTTGGGGTTTTGGGGTTTTGGGGTTTTGGGGTTTTGGGG